ACTTTGGTGTTGTGACCGCATTCCATTATGTTATTATTAAAATAAGTAAATTAATCATTTTAAAATTACCGTTATTCAACAATATATTAACATCGATTCTGTTTACTTATTATAATAAATTGTACACTAGATGGCAGCACTCTTTTCTGCCTAAGTTCCGTCTGAGTACCACCCACTTATTTATATCTGCAACCAAAAAGTAGCAAAGCTAGCACTGCTGTGTTCCGGTCTTAAGGTTTTAGGAGAACCAGTATAATTAAACGATGTGAGGCATTCCATCGTAGTCCTCAGAGGTGACATCGGATCTGTGTTAAGTTGGTAAAATAAAATGGTAAAATTGTCCGTAAATGCCATCATTTGACCTGCAGTCTAAACCCAAAGTCAATTGCCCAAATTCGGGCCCACTCTCTTGTTAAATATAATCGATTTATACAGCCGCCTGTTGATAGTTTAGTTTTTTTTTAACAGTAGAGTCATAGCTCGATATAGCGCTCGTTTGTGTGAATGCATTAATAAAAAAAATCGTTTCGGAGATCTAAATACACAGTCGTAATTAACATCCTTTACAAATTATAATCTCAAAATCCTTAAAACTCCTTTCGATCCGAACCTTTTGAAAGTTTACAAAGCCCTTATAATTATTATTATTAAAACGTCATCCCAAACGAAATGACTCGAAGCGACATAATATATACAATACGCGTTGGAAATGAGAAGCGGGGAAAATAAACATGCAAATAAATTTAAAATTTTATTTTAATTATAAACTAGATATTTTACACAACTTAACAAAATACATACATACAGCAACTGAACAGAAATATAACCAAAATATTTAAAAAAAAACATTCATACGGCATAATGGACTTTACGAGCAAGACGTGGATACAATGTGCTCATCTCGATTTAACCGAATTTTAATATAATTCTCGGCGTCCGCTTCTTTCCGGTATTACGAATGGCAAGATTTCTTTAACATAGTAAACACAATGATTCGTCCTTCGCTCGTCCATTGAGTGTCAGTTGATTGCCCTAATCATGAAGTTTACAGAACAGGAGAACGATCACTACGTACTAAAGCATAGCCCGCCTGTCCTTGAAAATTGTAGTATACATAACGGCGCTGACGTCGGTGAGTAGTGACTGCGAAATTAGCTGTTTATGAGTACAATAGGTGAGTTAGTTGAATATGTACAAATAACGTACAAAATTTTCATGCTCGTAATTTTGTAATTTTTGACAAAAGAAACATTTAAAAATGGAGAAATATTTTATTGTGCGTGGATGTGCAAGTGGTTGAGCATCTGATCGGAAAAATAGACTGAACATGACTTCTATTGACTGAACTTAGTGATCGCAGCGCCTCACTGATGGTGTCCATATTTCTAGGACACTATTTTCTACGGTGATCGTTCTCCTATTCTCTAACCTTCATGGCCCTAATACTGTTAAAAGCGAATGGCCATTGAGCTATCGGCCATTCTCAATGAAATAGGGTTAATAATTTTATTTGTACTATATCACAATATGTTTCGCATTAAACATAAAGGGATGGATCTAAGTGTTTCTCTAAATTTACTGAGGACGCTTCGTAAGCTTACAAAGAATTTAAATTAAGGCCAAGCCGAATAACCTTTGAAACTAAACAAAACTTAAGGCGAATTAAAAAATATAAAAACGTTTTATAGCTAAAAAATATACGCTCGTAGAATAGCTAGAGTGCTTTGTGATGCTTAATGAGGAAAATTGTAAAAAAAAATCTTTTTAAATATTTACAAAAGTTTTATGAACTGGTAACACGTGAAGAACAATGTCTGAGATGTGCTGGACAAGTAGTACAAACCGTTCTATACAAGATACATAGTACTGAACTTGATAATATAGTAGCTAATAAACTTTACTTTAAAATTATAATATCACTAATCTTACAAAAAAAAACTTAAAAAATTTCATAATCAGTTTGCAATCAACCAATATTTTATAGTATACTGCTCTGGTTTTGAGGACGAGTTGTGGGAAATATTTGATACAAACTCCTGCAATTTGTCACTTTATGTTTGTAAGCTCAGTCTTGTATGCAGTTATTACTGCATAGTTTCATAACTGTCTTTTCGATAGGAAAGCTAATTTTACAACCGACACATTATTGAAGAACATAGACTGTTTTAATTTCTAGTTTTTTAAACTATTATACGCTAAACCAGTGCTTGACTACTGTCCCACTTGGACGGTACGTAAGAGGTGACGTAGCCGCAGTCGTTAAAATCATTGATTTAGCTTAACAAAAGCCTCTTCTCTTCATTCACAGCTTTAGTTAATTTGACTGAGAAGTACAAGCAGTGTTGCTTCCATTTTACAAATATAGATAATTTATAGTTTTTTTTTAATGATAAAAATTTGTACAGTGTTTAGTTTTCATAGCATTTAGCTTCATAAAAGTTCACAAACTCGCGATTCACGCATTTATAATTGAGTATACTAGGAATTTCGTTACTTGAAAGCTTCGATAATTTTTTTTTGTATTTTAAAAGATATATTTATGTATACGTCATAATTTACAAAAGGGATCTTGGCTACCACAAATTTTTGTGTCATATGGATGGTGTACATAGGCAAAATCTTAAATAAACTTAGGTTGAAAATAAAATAAATTATAAAAATGTTTAAAATAAAATAAAAGATCTAGATTCACAAGATAAAAGAAATCGCAATAATATATATTATATTGCACATGCAGCTTTTAGAAGGTTTTTTTCCAATAGAAAAAAGAAATATTTCTGTTAATCCTATAGAATAATAATTATACAAATGCCAACAGTTTTATTTTTACTGGCCTTGAAATATTAGCAACAACCTCCGAACTTCCCAGTAAACCCAAATACTTTATTATCTATTTTACCAATGTTTAATTTATCATTGCGTACGTACGTATATGTGTTTATAAATAATTTACATTTTAATCTAACCGCATAGGAATTTAACATTAAAACACAATAATGGCCACGATTTTTCAAGGTATAATATTTGACAGATTTCATAAAGCAGTAGATAAAATGTTGGAAAAATGTAAAGGTTATTGTTTCTTTCCGTTTCCGTATTTGATATTAGATTAAAAATAAATAAATCAAACCACAGATATTCATAAAAGTAGAAATATTAAAAAATAGTTTAAAATGTACAAAAAATTAAAGAGTAAACAACTGAGACATTGTTTTGTGTATTAATAATATACTACTCTAAAAACTGATAAACTTCTTATTTAAAACTAACTTCTCAATTAAATTATATTGTGTAGCAAAAAACTTCACCTCAGTGTCGACTAATGACATCTGGTGAGCGGAAAATTATTTTTTTACTATGTCGGTTTTATAAATCCAGCACATCATTATTGTAAACATGTTTAAATATAAATCAAGACGCTGTTGATTGATTGACGAATTATAAAAATTAGAATATATAATTGCGTATAAGGCTGTATACAGAAGACGTCTACGCAAGCAACTTTCTAAAGGTATTTAATATTAACACTAAAATTTAACACCAACCGAGTCAACTCCAGCAGTCGTCATGCTCGCGTTTTATAGATTGCCAAATAGTTGTATTTGTTTGCGATTAAAACGAGAAACACGAATTATTGCAAGTTCAGTAAAAAGCAAAAGCAAAAAACTTTTGTGAAGCAAATTTTTGTTCAATTCATACATAATATGGTATTTTTAGACTGTAATTTAAACCATTGCAAATAAATCCTATTAAACTCAACTTTACAAGAAATGCCCTTAACATTTAAATATAAATTCATCGTTAAAATTATGCATGTGATCAGTTGCACCGATGATTTCATTAAAAGCTACAACTAGCCCGGCAAATAGGGAGTTTTTATTTTTGCAAAAATAAAAAATAAAAATTACAAATACATTATTGCAAGAACCTATCACAAAAAGGAAATAATCAAATAGCCCCCATAAACGTGTCCGTAATGTACGCCTCAGATATTCTATGTACAATGCAAATAAGATCAATTAATATACACACATCCGTCTCGTTACATAATTTGTCATTTTAAACTTTATAAATATCTTCGTAGTTAACGTGTCATAATTTCATGAAGATGGCCTAAATTATAATACTAAGATTTGTAATCGCTCATAGACGTTAGCGATTAGGGCCGTATGAAATTTTTTACACAACTCTACTGTATTTAGGAGTAAAATTGTGAAATAGGCGTCAACGAATATAATATTAATGTTATGTGACTTTTTAAGTAAATATATTAATCAATGAAATAACAAGACACTCTTAGTATTCAAGTATACCAAATATAATATTAGATATTTAACAAATTGCTATCAAAGAGGCTGTATACACAGGTAGGTAATTTAAAAATTATTATTTTATGAGATCAAATTCAATAAAAATTAATATAGTTTTTATTTCCACCAGTCTCAAATTCTGAAATTATGAAAATCTATCTGACTCAATCTGACACGGCCCTACTCGCTAAGGTCACGACCTCGCGGTCAACAGACATCGATGTCCACGAATCCTAACCCAAACATTTACTAAATTTAAACACATCGTTTCAGCAGCACGGAATCTAAAACGGTTTATAATTTACGCGGTGAGATATACATTTCGCTCGATAAAGCAATCCAGAATAGATTCAATCCACTGTGGCGGCGGAAATCCTAATTGATTGTTCGCTTGCGACATTTTTAAATATACTCGATTGGAGTGTGCGCCGATCACGGAACATTAATTTTGTGCGTCATATTCGAACGTAAGCATAAATGAAAGTGCTCGCGAAATGACAGCTCTAGACCTAAAAATTACTATGGAAGCGTTTAAAAATATCGCAAGTGTTTGAGTCACGTTAAAACTACAATTAGTTTAGGGCGAAATGGAATCTCGACTCTACATCACTGAACACATTGTGAGTCCTTCCGCGCCCCCCTCGCAGTCCCTCGCCCCACGCCCCCCGATCCGCAGCGCGAAGGGGGGCATTACAATATGCAGCACGAAGCTGAACAACAACTGCTTGATCCGCCTTTGCTTTTTTGCCGTTGATCTGAAAATAAGAAAACAATCACTACAAATTTTACGTAGTACTTTCACTGTTTACAAGTGCTACACGAATTTTGACTATGACATCAGGGCTATTTTAACAAACTGCTAAAATATACCTAAACAATCTCAAACTTTTAAAGGTGCAATAAAGCAAATAATACTGACTATTTTACCTTAAAGTATACGTGGTCGAGTCATGCTACAGTTATATTAGTACATAATATAGTTGTAGCACGAATGGGTCGGCTCGACCGGGGAAGGACCATGCTCTCACAGAATACCAGCGTCAAATAGTAGCTTAATGCTGCTGTGTTTCGTATGGTGAGTGTAGAGAACCGGAGACCCTTTTTACTGGAAACGAGGCATTCCACCTAAGTCCTCACGGATGACAACGCATTTGCATTTTGATTCGTAATCGAGGATAGATGTAGATGTCTATGGGCCGCAGCAACCACTTACCATCAGGTGGACTGTGTGCTCGTTTGTCACCCTATCCTATATAAAAAAGAGCACGAAAACGAAATGGAAATTTTTAATATACGATGTAATTGAATACATGTTATTTTATATTAAAAATTTATCCCCGCTAGGATTTTCTTCTGCTCTTATCTTACGTTTTACATACATAAATTGCAAATGGGAACATTAATTTGTAGGCCATATAAATATTTGCCGAATTCGAACCCGCGGCTTTGGTGCGCCGCAGTCACACTTAAACTGCGTTACCGCATGGTCAATATTAATGAGTGAGAATAACAGTTTATTTTTAATTAGCATATTAATTATTTTTACAAACACTGTTGGCATAGAAGCCATAATACTTTCGTCTGTAAGAGTAGAAGAAAGTCGCGTAAGGTCACTGCTGTATACTTTATTGCACCTTTGATTGCCAACAATAAGATTATCCTACAATTTATTTTAACAGTGTAATAGAAAAAAAATAACACTCACAGACATTTTAAAGGTTTCGTTAAATGTGTAAATGGTAAATAAGTATTATTATTATAACATAGCAGTTAAATTTAATGCTGATGTAAGTGTATTTACTAGTTACTAACTTATAAATTGTGTAAAATAAGGAAATAGTAATAATATTTAACCTCAAAAGCGAAATGCTTTTTTCATTTAAAATGTAGTTAATTATAAAAAGAACTATAAGCAATAATTCCTAAAATAACCTCCAAATATGCCCATGAGAATTATTTCTTAATAGAGCGTTTCCACGCTATCCGAATAATATCATGATCGGAAGCCGAATAAACGATAGCCGACAACTATTATATAAAGTCTAACACTTTCATATATCTATTCCCCATAATATTATTTCAATAGTTCGTTTGTTTTGTATACTACGGGTTGTGTCATGTCGGACTACAAAAACCTTTATTTGTTGTTTTAGAACTATACAACATGTAAAAAAAACCCTGTGGTTCCCGTTAAGTGCGTTTCCCGAATCAGTATCCAAGCGTATAGATATTTTTTTTTCAAAAAAAAAACATTAAAAAAATTTAGTGAAAAAAATTGATTTGCAAATTGTTCGTGGTTTTGATTTCATTTGGTCTGATACACCAGACGTCTGGTGTATCAGACCAAAAAAACCTACAGTCTGTGGAACTTGACTACCCTTTGACTATGATCTTTTTCCCACGTTCTTGTCGTAGATGATCCACTTTTCATCACCAGTGATCAATGTTCAAAAGTTATATTAGGTAATACACCTGTGACTGTGATGATATTTGTAAGTTTACCACTTACAAACAAATAAAAATAAAAAATAAATAAATATTTTCAAAAATGGTTCGGTTTCATTACGTTTCAATAGAAAATCGCAAATGAGTATACGATTTATAAGGTTTCTTTCAGTGAGCTTGTGAGGTACCCTAATATCAGGCTTTTTTTTTTTGTATAGCCAGATTTTTCAAATGGATCAAAACTGCTTTCTGGTCAATCCTCAATCCCTCGGCTATGTCGTAACTAGTAATATGTCGATCTTGCTCCACTTTATGATATAATAATAGAATATTCTTGATACCATAAATGGTATCGACTTTATCCGTATAAGGGCGACCAGAGCGAGCTGCATCTTTGACATCAATATTCCCAGACTAAAAACCCTTGAACGGACTTCGTGCTACCCTTACTCTCACATAAGTCACAAATTTTTGGCGGCTTCAGAATGTATCGAATTTCTTCGTTAGATTCACCCATTTTGGCGGATATAAAATCAATTGAAAAAAGACGGGAGTGTTTTTATTTTTATTTTTCTTAATGTCCTATAGGTATTGATATTAAAACCAGCCACAAACAGTACAATCAGAGAGATTTTTGTTCAATTTTGTACAAATAAAATACGAAGAAACTTTTTCCCCGGCCTATTATTATGAATCAACTACAGCCAGTATTTGAGACCCCATTCTTGAAACCACATTTATATAATAATAATGTCCTCTAGTTCGAATTTCTATCTCGGCGGCAAGTCTCAACAGAGACTAGCAGACAAGTTATCTATTTACAGGATTATTGTGTCACAGTGCATGCGCTAGCACAGGTGCACTCTCTATTCCCTCACTCTCGTAATCAGATGGGACGGTAAACCACACGACCGCAGAGAGATCAGGCGCAGGACCAACGACTTTACATACGGTGTGAGACACCGCCAACTTCCTGACTCCAACTTGAGAGATAAACCCAATAACTGATTTTTGATTCGAACCCTGGACCTCAAGACCACTAGACCAACGAGACAGTCTACATATATATATATATATATATATATATATATATATATATATATATATATATATAAAACTTTAATAGAAAACAATCAGGCAGGCAATCAATTTAAAAAAAAGCCGGGGACGTAGCACCCATATTAATATTGTCCGACAGCTAACGGGGACATTGCTATTAACGCATAACTGATATTGTTTGCTTATAGTGAAAACATAAGTACAAATATAATTTAAGCGCCCTCTATATTGGATATTTGAGAACAATAACGGATCGGATAATGTGGAAACGCTCTTACTAAGTAATTCATGACTAACAATTAAAAATAATTGTAGTTATAGACTCACAAAGGATTCAAAGGAATAGGGATAGGATGTCAGGTGCAGGGTTAAGTCCATCGAACCTCTGAAATTATGTCAATATAATATAATTCACTATATAAAATTAATTATTTTTAAATAAACGAAGCTTCGGTGAAGAGTCATCCGTTGTACGTTTTTAGTATATACTATAGAATTATAATTTTTATTCACCATAGATTACATAGAATGATACTTATTGAAAGTCATTTTTTTACCATTGGCCACCAGTATTACAACTGCAGATTTAAAAATATTCTTTAAAACTACTTTATAATAAATAAAGGAATAGTGGCAAGAAAACTGTCTGTATTTCCTGGCTTAATCACTGCGAGAAAACGACCAGCCTCCTTTATAACAAGTGACTAATTCCAGTTGCGGTTATAGTTTTTACATACATTTTAATTTGTATCACTTAATTCTATTGACTCTGGTGTAGCCACGGCTCTAGTAAAGGAATTCTCCAGATACTACGACTGTCTGTAAACTTTCGCAAAAATTGACAGGGAGGGAATCTGAGGGGAGGAGTGACACAATTATGTTCTTATTTTTATGAACACATTGTCACAGTTACGATGTAGGATGTTGTTAAAACAATTTTTTTCAACCCAGCAGTGCAGTTGTGCAACATTAGGATCGCTCCGCAACTGTGATATGATTTTTTTTTCATAAAGATATCATCACGTAATCTAAAATGGTAAAATAAAAAACACATTGGTTTATAAATGATACTGATACAGTAAAAACAATACAATGAACCCGAAAGGCAAACGTTAAAACCGAACCAATCCCCATTACAGTTACACAATTGTACATTTGTGTGTGTGGTAACGATATCACGTACAGTGCGGGAATACACAATGCACATTTGTGGGTACGATCCAGTGAGGTAGCAAGTGAATTGTGCCAGAATGTTAAACATGGCAGCCTTGCACCGGTAGGTGAAGTGTAGGGCGCCTCCCACTAGATGGAGTGACGACCTGGTAAGACATGCAGGAAGTCAGTGGATGCAGGTGACTCAGGACCGTGCTTTGTGACATTCCTTGCAGGAGGCTTATGTTGAGCAGTGGACTTGTGAAGGGCTGTAATGATGATGACGATAAATGTTAAACGTGTGCATAGTTACCGTGCGAGTTGGGCTCGGGCAGGTGCTCGCGCGGCACCAGGTGCATGACGGTGGTGCGGCCGAGCGGCAGGCCAAGCGCACCCAGCGTCACCGAGCTGTGCAAGAAGCGGCCCTGGTAGATTAGCCGCAGGATTTCTGCGCGCGACACGCACTCCGATGCCCAGTCCGCTGTAATGAACGGAAACATTTACAATTATTATTATATTCTACTTCTTTATCAGGCAGTACACGTCCACGGCAGGACATAGACCGTTCTAGAATAGGCGGTTGAAGTCTCGTCGAACCTTTGAAGGTGTTGCCCAACGGTGCGGTGGTCTGAGTATTTTACGCCTGGCGTAATCAATGTGTACAGCCAGTTTAAACATATTATTGTATTAGCTATCTAATATCGTATTATAATATAATTTAATAAAGTAACATTTTGAAAAACTTTTATTATTTTATTCGTTATAGTTATTTATATTAATATTAATATAAAAGACGTACTACTAATATGCACTATCCCATGTAATCCCGTGGGTGTCGTAAGAGGCGACAGAGGGAAAGATCATTAGCAGAGTCTTCTCAATAACGGCAAAAAATAAAAAAAACTGTGATTGCCGCCCCGCTTGCCAAGCGTGGCAACTATGGCAAATATCCCCCTATGGGGCAATGTATAGGGGAGGCCTATATTCAGCAGTGGACTAGACTGTAACAGTAACGGTAATATAAAAGAAGCTCACAGTCAAGTGACACCTTCATCTATCATTATCGATCAAAACTCAAAATACAGATACGTTGGCACTTACGAGGACTGACATGGAAAAGCCTCGTTACCGGTGAAAAGGGACTACATATCACAACACAACTAGGTGAAAAGTTAGTGCTTTATCCTATATTCTGTTAGAGCAATTTCTAATACACAATTACACAAAAATATAAATCTAAGTTATGAAAGAATACAATTACAATACTTTTAGAATATAACATAGACATTATATCGTTTCACGTTTATAAAGATTATATAAAGTACTTTTTTTAATATAGTTGTCAATTTGTTGGATTAATTTAGAATAGAACGGAGGACACTACCGGATACACCCATAAGGGTAGGTGTGCTCTATAGTGGTAACTACATTTTCATTCATAGTCGATGCTAGAGCAGTTTCACTCAAAATTAGCGTGTAGTTTTTTCTTCGAGCGTTATCGATGTGTTAGGAACGTGATACATATTTTGACTTGCCAACTTCGTATTCTTGTCTAAAAGAAAATAAATAACATTAATTAGTAATTAAATTATAAACGTCTAAAAGAAAAGATCGCAAGCTGCAATACTCGTTAAAATTAAAATGAGGTAATACAAAAAAAATATTTATACTTAATATTCGTTACAATTACCATTACAATTTTCAGTATTGACATCTTCACAATTATTAACAATAACTATCATTTTAAGAATATATTTAAATAAAATTGAAAAATAAAAGCATTCATTTATTTTAAGTAAGAAATAACAACAAAAAGTGGATTATAGAAACAACTGCCCCCAGAGAGATTTGAACTCTCGACCCCTGGTTTACAAGACCAGTGCTCTAACCCCTGAGCTATGGAGGCTTATTACCTAGAGTCATAAATACTTATAAGTATCGACTACTCATTTATTTCAAGTATATATTACCTATTACGATTTATAAAATAATATAATAAAACAAAACATTGGATAAATTACACGCTGTACATAGATGGCGCAGCGCGATCATGATTTTTTAAATTTTAGCATTAATGTAAGTCATTTATATGAAATTTGTACCAATTGTGGTTTAAAAATAATTTTTAATTAAAAAGATCATATATAATTCCATCTAGATATACGATTAAAACATAACCTAGTTTAACGAATTACAAGGAAGAAGCATAATGAGAACTAAATATGATATGTTATTCGAAGTACAAAGTAGTAAAAATAATATTGTGTGGCAAATATGTTAATGAAGTGATTCGTTCGTCTAAGCAATAATATTTTAGATTTAAAAGTAAGTACGTAAAAGAAAAAAGTAGTAAGTTAAAAATTATTTTCTCCAGCTCATGCAGGGGACGCAGCGACAACAAGCAATTACGCTATACGGCAAGTTGTCGCATTAGTCATTCTCCTATCTGCCGCTAGATGGCAGCACTTTTATGCAGCTTTTATATTACACATAATAGGTACTTTTGCATATAAATAAAAATACAAAATAAAAAAAAAAACATAAAAATATGTTAATTTAGTGTAAAAGTATTTACAAAGCAAAGGCATTCTTTTTTGTGATACAAATTAAGGATACAACAATGTCGTCGTGTTTTGAGTTCGTATGTTTTAGTTGGTTTGTCATTCCATCATGATAAAGATTACAGTAGTTTGGAAATTTACACCTTTTAGGATTTTCAGTCGAATTAATAAGCAAAATCGAAAAATTTGTGAGACTAAAAATATTTATTTTCTGTTCCTATAATTCCTATTGATATTGATATTTAACGTGAGCACCGGGTGATCAAAATTGAAAATTCACGAAAAGTCCGCGTTACCTTGTAACGTAGTAAATAAATATAAAAATAACTTATAATAAAATCACGAACTTACTTTTATTGTTTTAAAAGTTTTTTAAAAACTTATTATTTTAAAAAATAAAGTAAAAATAAAAGTACCTACATGGACCATATACCAAGATGTGTTTGTTGTTCTGTGTATAAAAACCCTTTACTTTATGTTTTGGCCAATCGAACAAAGAAACCAGGAACAGTTTCTTTGGTCACTAAGCCATGCTTTCTGCATGGGGAAAAATTTTAATTACCTTTAATATGGCAGTTTGACAGTGTAGTAGCGGTGTAAGGAGTAAGGACATGCACCTCCCAATATCGTCCCGTGGGTGTCGTGAGAGGCGACAGAGGGAATCAAACCTGGTGATGGACAGCAGTATCCACCGTAAATGAAAATAAACTGTAGTTGCCAACTAGATAGCCAAGTGTGACAACTATCCGCAACTATCGGCAAATATCCGCACTATGAGGCAATACTATGAGGCAATTTTCAATACAACAACTGGCAACTTCGATAGGCTATAACGGGAACATTCCAGTTAAAAGCGTAACAGTACATATTTGAAGGTCAACTGAATAAATACAACGCTAACGTGTTACCTAATTGCTTTTAATTGTTGGGACTTCGCACACATAAATGAAGCTTAACAACACAAGGTGAATTTAATTTACTTATATTTATTTCAATCAAACGATAAGCGTTGATAGTTACAAAACAACGCAGTTCCATTCGATCGGCATCATTGGACTGTACTGCCCCACGATTTGACCTGTACTTCGTAAGCCGACCAAAACCTTGCGATAGTGCGTTTTTGAGAGACTATTATCATCATTAGTTATGAGAAATAAACTACATCTAAAAGCGAATTATTATTGTTAGATATCCTATCATCACATTCCACGTTATAATTTGTAATGTAATTTTTTGTGTGTTATGTTATAAATACATTTAAAATCTACTTTCAAAAAATAACTAAAGTTATTGTTTTCATGCATCTGTTACTAAACGCAACGCTCTAATCATTTGAGGATTACACTAATAGATAGATAATTTAAAAACCTATATTCTCCACGTTTTATTTAATTTTTTAAGTTCGCTTTTCTTTTTTAATTGAAATAATTCTAAAATTTCGCCGTATTTCTTACGCGATATATTGTAGCGAGAGCGCGTGGATTGTATAGGACATCTAAGTATAGGACCGAACTCTCAAGGTCGTTCGCTAGGGGTAGCGCCTTAATTAGTAAGATTTTTTGTAATATAACGAATAAAGTGCAAACTATAGGTATTGTGTACAGTATGTTTACGCTATTTTAAGTTTTTTGGATAGATTGGTAACACTTAAAGCATGCTAAAGTAATAAAAAAAGCTGTCAGAGGACTGTACGTCAGAAGTGAAAACTTCTTAGCCTCACAAACTTGAAACGTTATTTTTGAGTTGTTTAGAAATATTTTTTTAAGAAGTATTTTTATTAGAAATTGTTTTTATCAACGTATTAATATAGTAATAAAATTTTCATTAATTACGCTGTTTTACATAAAAAGAGTAATTCTTATCTATTTATGTATAATACTAACACATTTATAAATACATCATTGTTATTTTAACATTACTTTCATCAATTATAAGTGACGGCCACGAGCTTTTTCTCTATCCCAAAAGTGGCCAATGTGCCTCAAGAAGTTTCCACTTCAATAATTATATAGAATAAGACAATCGACACCCAGACTAAATTACCGTGCAGTGGTGGCAACAAGTGGTTAGACAATCATTACTACTACTACTATCATCTCTTGTGTCTCGTAAGAAGCGAAAGCGGAGATTGAAATATGAGATAGGCAACAGCATCCACGTTATAAAAACTCTAAATAATAATAATAATAAACTGCGCTGCCAAGCGCCACTATAATAATTTCCCAATCTATAGGGGAGGCCTATATTAACCACTGGAATTTCGTTAGCCACATTTATGAATAATTAATCTTAAGCAGTAAAAACAAAGCTTAGTATCGTTTCTCAGGAGTTACGACGCTTCCATATCTTGATATGTCTATGTGCAACAATAGCAAATATATACATGACTGATCTTACGTAGCGATGCCGTTTGTGTGCGCAGATTTCTCCCCGCAAAAGATGACAGAAAGTTTTGTATCGGGAAAAAACGCTATGGTTACTCCCCTCCAACCCACCGGTGGCCAGTGTTGTTGATTTTAAGCAAAATAGTATTTTAAGAAGTGAAGAGTAGCCAAATTTGTCATAAAGTATCTACTATGACACTCATTGTCAATAGCGTCACGTAGCTTTAAATTGATAAATCGCTATACAATGGGGCGAATTCAAACGATTTAATACTCCGACTGTGGCATGTGATCGCCGGGTAAGATAATCCATCTAAATCTATAGAGATAACCAGAAGGATTTAATACTAATGGCTTCTGAGCAAAGGGACATTATAGGGTATTCTGTAACATGTAAAAAAAAGTTCTTATTTATGACAGGTTTTGTTAAAAGTAAAGGGAAAATATTGATTTTATTCATAATAATACATCATAAATTTTATAATTCTAGTTTAAGAATATTTTTTAATCTGTGCCTCAAATATTTAAAACGCTAG